ATTTTAAAGAAAGGCCTCAAAATTGGAGCGAAATTTTGCTAAAGTTGAAATATTATTCTCCATAAACGTGTTTGATTTCTGGATGAAAAGATTTTGGAATTCTTCTAATGTTGGTAATAGTTCACATTGAACTTGATGCTCAGAAAGACATATTTCGCATATTTTTCTAATACATGCATGATGGGCAATACAAATGTTAGTGATGAGCTAATCAGGATGATAAATGCAGAAATTTAGATTTTATGCCATTTTTATTTATTTATTTATTAAATCATCAGTTAATTTTTTGTTTAAAAACTACCGAACATATCTATTACTGATAATTAACTTATTAAAATATATAAAAATATATAAGATTTTTAATTCTGTTACATTAAGCTTTCTTTAAATTTATTATAATAATCAGGCTAGTTAAATAGTTGATAATAATTCAAATTAGCACTGTTATGAGAAATGAAATCACAAGTAAATCAAACATTAAGGACTCTTTAAGTTAATTTGATAGCTACTTCTTCCATAAATTGTATTATTTAAATTTTATTAGTTTTGATTAATAACTTAATGCTAAAGAAAAGTAATATTTTTCTACTTAATTTTTTTCATTCTAAATCAATTAATCCTACATTAGGAGAAATTAGTGTAGAAGTTTAAAAGCTCAATATACACTTATTCAGAGTTGACACACAAAGCAAAATTAAATATGTGGCACTAAAAAATGAAATTAAATTATTCTAATTTAGATGTAAAATATATTCAATACTTAGAGCTCACTTCTATTTTATCTCAACTTTTAATATTTTAAGGAGTAGATATTACTTTGTGTCTAGTTTAGATGGCCCATTTCATCTCTAACTCTATGATTAATATATCTCTTATAGAGTTCAAAATACTTAAGCTTTTATACAGTTTTTGCAACTAGATAATAGCTTACTTAACATGTATTACAACCATCAAACTGGATATTGTTTTATCATCATAATTATCATCCAAGATTGTGATTCCAAAATTACAATAAGGGATGCATTATTATTTGTTAAAAATCAATTAAAAAAAGAATTGGCATGTCAAGCATCAATCCAATAAGTATTAATCGATGTTTTTTAATTTTGATCTTATTTTAATTAAGGAAAAAATTTTCCCGAGCTCTTGTATGTTACAATTCTAGTTTATTACCTACTACTGCTGTAATAAAAGTTGGCTTCAATAATTGACTAATAAAAACCTAAGTTTTATATTTATGAGAAATAAAATTTAAAAACAATCTTATAGTAACTTTAACCAATACAATAGATAAAACTGGGATCTAAACTTATACTCTTTTAAGTTTGTTGGATTAAAGATGAAATAACTTTTAAATTATATTATTGATTACTTATATTTTAAGCATTAACCAAGATAAAGGAATTAACTTCCCACCATCATATTCTTCACATTAATGTATCATTCAGGCCCTTAGGATTGGAATACAATGTTAATTTATGTTAGATATTCCAATCCAACTTAACATTAAAAATAGATACTACTAAACCGTTAAGCAAAGAAATAGAGTAATTCTGGGTCTTAGTAAGTATCCAAATCAAGCTTGATTTATAATTAAAATTTTCTTATTCCAAACCATTCCAGTGATTACTAAGAATTAAATAAAACTACTTTTTTTTAATCGTTAAAATATTATTTGTATGCTCTAATTAATAGATATTTATCTGCTGCAAAATTAAAATTTTACTACAGGTATTATTCTAGTTAGTTTGTAGTTAACAACTCAATTAAGAAATATGTACAATCTTTATCATTTTCTTTAGAAGTGAAAGCATAATACATTTCCACCTTTATATATAAACTGATTGCAAAATAATTCCCTAATGAACAATTTTGTTAGATATCATCAGGAAATTTTCGGCTAACAATTACCACACTGGTAGTTACGATAAGTCTATCCTATTATGGGATGTTAAAACAGGATAATAAAAAGCTAAATTCGACAGTCATAGAGCTATTATCAACTCAGTTTGTTTTTCTTCTGATAGTAATATATTAGCTTCTGTTAGTGAAGATAGGTCTATATGGGATGTCAAGACTAGAAAAAAAAAGCCAAATTAAATGTTTAGAATTAAGGAGCCAATTCAGTATGCTTCCCACCTGATGGAACTATTTTAGCAGCTAGCAGTAAAGACTATTCTATCCGTTTATCGGATGTTAAGACAGAAGAATAAAAAGCCAAATTAGAGAGTCATAGAGGTATTATCAACTCAATTTGTTTCTCACCCGATGGAACTATGTTAGCATCTAGCATCTAGAGTAGAGAATATTTTATTCGTTTATGGGATGTTAAAAAAAGTAGAAAAAGAACCAAATTGGATGCTCATAATAAAGGAGTCAATTCAGTATGCTTCTCTCTGGATGGAACTATTTTAGCATCTTGTGGTTAAAGTAACTTTATAAGTTTATGGGATTTTAAGACAGGATAATTAAAAACTTAATTGGATGCTCATACAACTTAAGTCTATTCAATATGTTTCTCTCCTGATGGAACCAAATTAGTAAGTGTAGATAGGCTCATATTTTTATGGAATGTTAAGACACAATAATAAAAAGCACAACTGAATGATTATTGTGGTTCTTTCTTTTCAGTATGCTTCTCCCCTGATGGAAATACATTAGCATTTGGTAGTGTAGATAAGTCTGTTCATTTATGGGATGTTAATGCAAGATTAAAATAAAGCAAATTTGATGGTCATAGTGGAACTGTCTGCTCTGTATGCTTCTCACTTGATGGAACTATATTAGCATCAGGTAATTATGATAATTCTATCTATTTATGGGATGCTGAGACAGGACAATAAAAAGCCAAATTAGATGGTCATTGTGGCTAAGTTCAATAAATATGCTTTTCTAATGATGGAACCACATTAGCATCTGGTAGTTATGATTGTTCTATTCGGTTATGGGATGTGAAAAAATACAATAAATTGAATCTTAAAATAAGCGATACAAAGATATAGAAGCTTAATTTGAAACTCCCTTCAATTAAAACAATCCTGTTGCAGAAGGTAGTATTTATCAATATATTCTAGCTTCAACTAATATTACTATTCTCCTAATATCCTAATCAACCTTATTTTAAGCACAAGGAGCTCTAATTCTTGAGGGCAAGTTTGAAAATTAATCAGAAATAGATTTTAAAATCTTAATTAAACAAAGAGGAAGTCTAATTTTGGAAAATTTGTTAAACAGTCTTCATATGCCAGCAATATTAACAAACCTAATTATTTTCATAATTATTTCTTCCATTATTTTAACAAGCTTTAATTATATTAAGTATTTTAATTCAAAAATAAATTTTTCATTTATAAGAATTTGAATACTAGCTAAAATCCAAAATAGAAGCTTGCTATTTAGAAATATAGTAAATTATCGAAGTAAATGTGATTAATATCATTTAGTTTTCATTCGATAGAATTGATAATTATTTTGATTAAACAATTGATGATGTATAGAAGAACTTTAGTTCAAAATTCAAAGAATCATAACAATTAATCCTTCCATAATAATTTGTTTAATTATCAATTAAAAGATTTCGAAAATTAAAAATTTATTAATGAAATTATTCATTAAGTTACACCAATAATGAAGGTTTCTATTGAAAATCAAATAAAAAAAAGGAATTAAATTAACGTATACAACTATAAAATCTGGAGCTTATGCAAGAAAAAGGTAATAATTATTACTATTTTGAGCAAACACTCTATAGAAATAAGTAAACCTTATTTTTGATTAATTAAATTGAATGACTTTTAATTAATCCAAAACATGATCAATCATATGAAAAATTAGGTCGTGCATATAACGAATAAATTAATTGATATCTTAAATTAACGTTATTAAAATTAAAGTTTAAGAGATTAAAAATCTTATCAATAAGCAAAGGAATATTATGATTAATGCATTTCAATAAATGCAAATAATTTAGCTGCTCTTTTCGAAAAAGGTTTAAATTAAGTATATTTATTAAGCCGAATGTTTAAAAATTATTTTAAAATTGTATTTAGTGTAAGAGAGACTTATGAAGAAAACAAAGTCTTATAATATTATACTAAAGTTATTGAAATTGATTCATATAAATTAGACTATCACAAAGGCTATGGTAAAATATATTTGTTACTATTAATTAGGAGATTGTTTATAGATTTATGAGTAAATATTATTAAAACTTCTTTGGAAAGATTAAGGAAGCAATAAATATATATGATATATGGATAAAAATTTATGCTAACCATTCTTAGTTATATGCAGGAAAAGGTATCATATATCTTTTAAAATAAAATAAATTAGGAACATGTCTATAATATAATCAAATTATAATGATATTGTTGTTAGGTATGAATGATGAAGCATTAGATAATTTAAATAAATCATTAACTTTAAAATAACATTCCTCCATAACTCCATAGGACTTAATGGATTTGGTAGAAAGTAAAAATAAAATGTAAATGTTTTACTATTTATAACTTTTGTTAATCTTTCTTTATTATATGTGTTAAGTAAGATTACTCGAAGGCATTAGAATATTTTGACAATGTTCTAAAGTTTTATGTTCTTTACATAACAAAGGTATTTAATTAAATTATCTCAAGGTTACTGCCTATTAGAAAAAAACAGTTGATATTACATTATATAAAACTAGGCTTAGTACGATTGAATAGTATGACCGTTGAATAATGTCCACTATCAATAAAATACTTCTTCAATTTAAATCAACTTTATCAATCAATTGATATCTTTTAGAATCATAATAAGATTATCCCATTCTAATCGAAACACTTTCATTAGCATTAATCAAAAAATTTTACTAGCATATTATGAATTATAATCCAAACTGCTTTTTCCTTGATGTATGATATAGATAAACATCTGTTTTCTGGAAGAAATATTTTTATTGCTTTAGCAATTAATTTAAAAACATCAGCAGTAGGTTTCTATTTATATTAAAATAATTCCTTATACTCATAAATTAAATTTAATCCTGGAAATTAATAGTTGTTGCCTCTATATACAAGCAATAAACGAATCCTTTATAATTTTTTTTTTTAATTAATAAGATTATTATTGATTTCAAAATATTAATTTCTAATATTTCATTATGCAATATATTTATTATTTCAAAATTAATAGTAGTTTGGGTTAATCCCAACAAAATCTATCAATCCCATTATTT